TGTTAAATGGCAATAGTCATTGTAATGAAAACAATGGTAAAAGAAGACATCATTCGAGATACAATTAAGCATCTTTAAAAGAGAGAGTTATCTTAATTGATTATGTGGGATCAAATATAAATCTGAAGAATCCATTAACTAACCCCTAGAGAAGAATTTAATTATTGAAACATTGAGGGGAATAAGACTTAAGCCAATTTAAAATTAATGGTGATGGCAACCTAATATTTCTAATTGGAAATCCTATGAAGAAAGTTCATTGAGTAAGAACAAGTTATTTGTTAGCTTTGCTAACTCTAAATTTTTATATCATTTCCTATGGTTTGAAAAAGTGCTAAAATGTATTAATCGAAGGCTGAGCAAAAGCTTTTAATAATTCTCATAGTCTTTATGAATGGTGTATTCATTGCAGATACACTTGAGAAAATCATATTGAGTGGGGCTGCTCTTATGAGATCATGGCAAAATTTCTAGAGTATTTGTTAAAACGAGGTGCTCGTATGGCTGATAACTTGTAAAACCATAATTAATAGTGAAGAACGTGAAGGTATAATCCGACTAATAAGACCTTTAGTATATATACCCAAGATTGTTGGTTCATAGAAACATGTTTTCATTGACATTTCTGTGTACTAAGTTTTATTGCTTCAGGTCTAGTTCATAGAAACATGGTTTCACAAGATTTGAAGTGATTATTTTCAGTGCAAATATCTCATATGACAATTGCCCTTTTGACAAATGTGAGGAATTGTTGCAATTATTATGTTATACATAGTGTCAAAAGAAGTCCTATATTACTCACACGAGAAGAGCTCTTAGTATATATATGCTAAGAAATGAAAGTGGGCTAATAAATGGATTTGGAGTTAAAAGGACATTGGGTTCATTTTATCGGATTTATTTTGCAAAATTATTAAATACGCCTTCCTGAAAGTCCTACGATCTAAATATTTAATTTTAAATTCCTCATCCATAGATTTATTTAATGTGCATTAACTATCCAATATGTTCACTAGAAACTAATTTTTTCTTCAAGTGGTAAAGTGGCAAAAGTGCAAAACTAAAGGAGTAAATAGAAATAATGTGCTATGATGTTTATTTGAAATTCTTAATTAAATTGTGTTTCAAGGCTTCATTTGATCGGTGCCTATATATAGCTTGGGGAATGCAATGTATCCAGTACCCAACTCTCAAGTTTTGAGTATATATATTAGTCTATGTTGTTTTGTGCACTTGTTAACTTTGCAGGATGAGTCTGTTTAATCTTGAGGAGTTACTGTGCGATTGATAGTATGGCAAAATAGCTTTTAAGGGCAATGTCCTTAACACAACTTAGACTTTAAATCTACTTGTAGGTTGCAACACGACAAGTCTCCAGTCTCAATCTCATCAGAAGGGCTATAAGTGATGATGGGAGGAGGGAGGATGAATGAAGAAGAAAGAATTGCATTGCAAATGATTGAAGAACTGCTCAACAGAAATTATCCCAAGTCTTCCAACACGTTCATTTGATCATTATGGTCTGGTTGATGGCGAAAGCTTCCTCTTTTAACTTTACTCAATAAAAACTAAGGTGGTTGTGGTCATGTCCTCTTAAAAGGTAGCGCTACAATGTCGAAAGATGGCGAAACGACTTGTAATGGTTAAGGCCTTATATCCCTTAAATACAGAAGGTGCATGTGAAGGCGAGTATGGACATGTGAAAAGGCGAGTTAAAATCAAGGATAGCCTCTGTGTGGCTAGGTTAATGTGTGTTTAAAAGGAGCTTGTGATTTGTAAAGGCAAATAAGAGCTGGAAATAAAGGAGCTTGGAGGCTTTGTTTAAATAAGGGTTCGAGTTTTAAAATTATTTTTTTAAAAGAAACCGGGCTTGAGAACCTAGCCCTGATAAGCCCTGTGAAAAAGGGCTTGGACTCGGGCGACCTTAAGCCTTGATAAGTCAGCTTATCTTACACACACACTTGATTGACAATGATACAATTTGGTTAATATTTATTGTAAGTGATGAAAAAAATTGTAAAAGTAATTGACATTAAATCTCCACCTCCATCTTCAATAAGTACACTTACATCTAAGGGATCTAATGTTTTATTTATAAATGATGAGGATGAGGAGAATTTAGATTTTGATTGATGAATGTTTGTTGTTTAGATTTCTAAATTTGTTGTTTAATTTTTAAAATATTGTGATGATTTTAAATTTTTTAATTTTAAAATATTTTAATTAATTTTGTAATGTTTAATTTTATTTTAATTTTTGCAATTTTTTTAGAATAGGTCCTCTGAGCCTAGCCTTAAGCCCTTTACCAAGCTCAAGAGCCGAGCCCTTAATGGTCAAGGCGCTCATTTTCACAACTATATTATGGCTACGGAAAAAGCATAAATGAGGGTCACATTGATTTGCTGCTTCTTTTGTCTCCTTGGTGTCCTCTGAACAAGTTTGGCAGGCGAAAGGGGGGGGAGAGAGAGAGAGAAAGAGAAAAGGAGGAGAGAGATAGAGAGGGAGAGAGATTGAATTTTTGGGCCCATATAACATAACCAAGGCTTGTTTAATATGAGTTTAAGGATAAACATTCCTAAATTTGTGGTTGAAGGTGCATTTTACCATTTAGTCCTTCCAAAATATATTACCTCCATGCATAAAAAAAATGAATAACAGTGTATTCTAATTAAGAATTTGTTATCCATCCATTTAAAAATATAGAATAGGTAAAATTAATCTATAGTTTCTTTCTTTTTTATTTTAAATCGAGTCCTTGTAATTTATTTATTTTTTAATCAAACTCTTATAACTTGATCGATTAAATATATTAATCCTTAAGAATTAAAATCCTTAATTTTTTTAAAATAAGATTAAGAACATATATATTTTATTAAATATTATATAATTTTATAATTAATCACATATTTTTTGTGACACTTGATTTATATAATTAGATTATGCTTTCTAAATAACTTATATATATATATATATATATAGAATTTTCATAAAATTTGTAATAAAAATGTAAACATTGTATGAAATCAAATTGTCATTTTACTTTTTTTGGATAAAATTATTGAATCAATTTTAAAAGTATTTTTGTTTTAGAAAAGCTAATTATTCATTGATAATTTTAATATTTAAAAACTAATATATTTAATCAATTAAATTACAAGAGTTTGATTAAAATGAATTACAAAGATCTAATTTAAATTTGATAAAAAATTAGAAGGACTCGAAGATTAATTTTCTCACAATATAAATCAACCCTTATTTCATTCCATAATTTTTCATATTCTGTAATTTAACATTTAAATAACATTCAAAAAATTGTTTAATAAATTGGTAATTCATATATATTAAAAAAAATTTTAGCCAACATATATATTAAAAAAATCAAATAACATATTTTATTTCAAAATCTATTACAGCATGAAAATTCAGGTCAACCCACTTGATTGAATTATTAAACTAGCATCTTGATTGTTTTAATAAAATGACCAGTTTAGTATGAATCAACTACAATCTTAACTATTAATTCTTGAATTAGTATTTTGACTAATTTAACAATCAGTCTGGTTTTCAATACTTGAAATTTATTATTCCATAAACTCTATGTATTTATAAGTCATTCAAAAAATTAATATTTAATATGATACATATATATAGAAAATATGTTAACATAATATCATAAATTTTAAAAATAAAAAATAAATTTAACTTTTGAAATTTTAAAAATATTATTAAATTTTAATTTTAATTTTATTACATATTAAATGTTCAAATGAGTATATTTATCCGATACAAATTACAAAATATACTAAACTTATATATATAATCGATGAGTTTGGGTTTGGATAGAAGTTTAATACTTAAATCTTCATTAAATGGTAAGAAAATAAAAAAAACTATACTATATAAATAATATAGTTTACTTTATTTCACAAATTCTATATATTGCATTACACTGGGGGTGAAAGTAAGCCAAGTCTCTATAATGGACTTATAAGCTAGCTTACTTTAGGCCAGACAAAGTTTTTTTACTAAATAGGGGCTAGTTTAGATTTAGGCAAATAAGACATACTTATTTTTACAAAGCCTAACCTGCGAGCCTTATAGGCCAACATATTTACATATATATTATTATTATATAGCATATTACTTATATAGGATATATAATATTTAGTTTAGAAATTTGAATATAATTAACTCCACTCTCTTCTCGTTCTTCTTTTAGGTTAAGCTCTAAAATGCTAGACAACTCTTTTTTGTCTATATTCTTTTTTATTATATTTTATATGATGAATTCATGATATACGAGTTTCATTATTTAAGTTTTAATCAATGTAATAGATTGAATTTATATATGTATTGATTTCAATGTTATTTTTATATTATATTTTTGTATTATAGTTTAAGTTATTGTATTTATTACGCATTTTAGTTGGTAAATCAAGAAATATATATGTAAACTTTAATAATCTTAAAACTTATATGACTTTTAAATCTTTTTATATAAGCTTATTAAAAATGCCAGTGTTTAAGTAAATTTTTAAATAAATTTATAGGTTAAGTTAAATTTTAAATAGATCCAAACCTATATAAATTTCAAGCGATGTTCAAGCTTTTAACTTATCTAACAAACTCAATCTATTTGATCAAAACTTATTTCGGCGAACCAATTTTCATCCCAACCGCTCTGCACTGCGCGCCACACAGCTGTGGGTGGAGTAAAGCATATTTTTGAATTAAGGGTTAAAAAAAAAAACATATTATTACAATATGCAGGCTCTATTTGTCAGCCCACAGAAAATGACTGATGGTGGAAACACGAAACAGAGCAACCAATAAAAAAAAACAAAAGAAAAGAAGAGAAAAAAAAGAGCGAGAGGATGGCAATAATCGACAGACAGTATCACTGATTTTTTATTTTTATAAAAAAATCGTTTTTCACAAATATTGGCAGAAAGGGACAAAATCCCAGAAAAGCGTGACATTGCCAGCTCCATTTCCTTGCTTTGCCTTTCTCATCATTTTCACTCTTCCATTCCCTCACTTGTGTCAAATTATTTCTGACGTCGCGCTTTTCACTCGCTCCGTTTGCTCGTTTTACCCTCATTCTCTCTCTTCTTCTGTTTACTTGCATTCCTGGGAATGGAGATGACTCTGGATCTGGTCCTTCGATTTATTTTCTGATTCATCAGTGCCCGGGATTGTCTTCAAAGAAGAAGGAATAGGAAAAAGAGTATTATGTTTTCGAGACTAATACATCCTCACGAAGGGACATTTGGTCAAGAAAATATGCAGGGTGGATTAAGCCACAGTCACCTTGGAGACCCATGTCTTGTCCTGACCGCTGATCCCAAACCTCGTCTTCGTTGGACTGCTGACCTTCACGAGCGATTTGTTGATGCGGTCACTCAGCTTGGAGGTGCCAGTAGTAAGTAATTTGTTACTTGACCTTTTTTGCCGCCTTCATTAAAATCGTATTCTATTTATGCAAGCTTTTTGTTGGGCATGATGCACCAATTTCATGGGTATAAAAGATTGGGCAGTGGTTGAGCTAACTTGGTATTTAAAAGGTTGGGATTTTTGGGGAATTTGGGATGGTTTCTTTATTTCCATTTGTTTGTAGTGACTCATCTCCTGGAAGCAAGGAAAATGGGCCTTTTCTTATCTCATATAAACTCTATTGAAATAACTGAAATTACTTATTCTCGTTAGCTTTGGTTGGAATATTTGGAGTTGAACTATTTTGTTCTTTCCTTTTTAAGTACTTGTAGTTATTTATACCAAGAAGCCTTCGTTAGCATGTATATGTTGAATATGTTGGTTACTTCTTCCACCTTGACGAATATAATTACTTATAAGGGTTGTGAAAAGGAGAACATTATCCTTGGGGAGACTTGCTCCGCAATTTTAATTTGACAGCTGAATGGTACGAACAACTGGAGCCTGTTTTATCTGATTAGGGTCTAGAAGTGAATTGTTAATGGGTAACGTACACGTAATGCTATATCTGATGCAGTAAAAACGTTTACCAAGTTATATACTTGTATAGTTCTTGCATTGTGCTTTTGGGTTTTTGCCTCACATTTATTATTTCACTGATCGTAGACTTAGAAGACTTGTGCATTTATTGGCATGCAAACAAACATCTCAAATCACGTGACGAATTTTGACTTAAAGCTCTTTAAAGTGGAAGATGAGGGCTTAATGGCTTTTCAAGGGATTCACAAACTTTGTTGAGTTGATGAATTTTTTCCTCCCATTTTTAATTCGCTTCAGCACTAATAAACAAGATATTTTTGCATGAATTCATCACAGATTGACAATTAAGCTTGCTCTCAGAATATTAAACCTGGCCTGTTTGTTAAGCCTCATAATAACATCAAGCTTGACATGTTTTATGACTAGTAAGTTGAAATCTACATTTCACTTGTTTGATTAAATGAAATCTATTGGATTATTTCGTGTGTCACTTGTATCATTGCAATTTTTAGCATACCTGTGTATGGTGTCTGCTGAAGCCCAACATTTCTATATCACACCGCATCACTTTGCATTTTCTACAATTCACATGGCTTCAATATTTTATTCGGACTTCTCTCAAATGTATGAATAGTTTCATTAGTTTTCCAATTAGGATGAAAGGATTTCGGCTCTGGATTTTTTGGGCATGTGTTCTAGTAAACCCTTCTATTTTTGCAGCCATTCTGTGAATAACGATAAATTCCTTCTTGCCGATCCCCATTGAAAATCCGAAGCCTGCTTAAAAGTCATGCCTTTCATTTGCATGCGAGTGCTCAACAGTAATCTTTGTAGATTGAGACACCACCCAAAGCATTTCCTCTTGATGGGTGATTTATATGTTAATACCGTTCTGAAACTGCTTTTGGATATGACAGCCAATTATATTTAGATCAGGCCTTCTAGAGCTTTTGGTTAAACCTGGTTTGTGCTCTGACTGTGTAAAAGTTTTTATTGTTAAGTATAGAATTTGGCAGGAGTAAGAAAGGCCATACAGAAGTGTGCTCCACAACAATTTGGTGCATTTGTTTCGAGGATTTGGCTTGTATCTTAAAGAATTAGTAGTCTTTGGCCCTATTTGTTTAATATTAAAAAATAAGTGATTTTTAGATATTTTAGAGATTTTATAAGAAGAGGTTTATTTTATAGAGATTTCATAAAAAGCAGACATTATTTTATATTTGGTTGTAATAATTAAAAGTCATTATTAAGTTAGTTTTAGATTTTATGATATCTTTGTGATCTCTATTTATAAAAACTGATCTATTATTTAGTTATTTTAAAATTTTATGATATCTTTGTGTATCTCCACATTTGTTTTTTGGTATTATTTCTCATATATCACATTAAATTATTTTCAGAAGCTACTTAAAATAACTTCTCAAAATGATTAGATTTTTTTTTAATTCTGATTATTTTCAAAAGTGTAAACAAATATAATAAAAATTCACAAAATAGATTTTTTCCCCAAAAAATTGGTGATTTTTTCAAGAAAAAAAGTTTAAACAAACAGGCCCAAATTTATCTTTTCTGTTAGACAAAGTGATTTTCCCCCTCTGCTTTAGCTAACAACTGTTTTCATGAGACTTTGCTTGTTAAACTTTCACAGGGATTAAGTGGCTTTTTATTTCTATTGTTGATGTGACACTTGCATTACATACTTTCTTTTGCATAGCTTGTTGAAAGGATATACTATCACTCTTTTTTTTTTTTTTTAATTTCTGTCTTTAATAAAAACTTCTATTATCAAAATTGTCATATGCAGAAGCTACACCAAAAGCAATCATGCGGACCATGAATGTCAAGGGTCTGACTCTTTATCATTTAAAGAGTCATCTTCAGGTTTGTGTCCATATTGTTCTTTTATTAATACCATAAACTGTATAATTTCAAGTGAAGGTGAAATTTGCAGTCATTTTTTGGTTTAAGCTGTTTTTTGCTGCATCGCAGAAATACAGACTTGGCAAGCAATCGGGAAAAGATACTGGAGAGGAATGCAAAGATGGTGGGTTCTCATGCATCTCTCTATAGTCTCCAATTATGTTAGTCATCTGAATTTTTTTGACATAATTTTCTAATCTTGCCTTTATCTTCTATAACATGATTAGAGTCTCTTTCTTGGTGCATCTGGAAACCATTATCTGATACAAGGCGAAAATTGTAATTAGAATTTGAGTTTATTAGTTTAGTAGTTGCTGAGTACACTAATAAAGGAGTCATTAATCATGAATTCAGGATCTTCTGGTTAATGATTTATCAGAAGAATTAGTTTTGAACATAGCATAATGGCATCATATGATCTATGTAGTGCCAGCCCTACTTAGTGGGATAAGGGTTTTTCCCCCCTATCTTATTTTTATGTGACTATCTAGGGAAAAGGCTTTTGTTGTAGTGTAGTAGTTGCTGAGTGACTATATTTTGTAAATAATCATGCCAAGAGTAAACTTTAACTCATTTGTTGAAAAATTATGGAAGGAATATCTGCTTCGTATCTCTTAGAAAGCCCTGGTGACTCTGCTCCAAAGTTGCCGGCTTCTGATTCAAATGAGTAAGGATTTTCAATATTTCATGCTTTGTTGAAATCATGCCTGCCTGAAAGCTTGAACAATTATTTACTTAAGAGTTTCTGTGTGATTTTTAGGGGTCATGAAGTCAAGGAAGCATTAAGAGCACAAATGGAAGTGCAAAGTAAACTGCACTTGCTAGTCGAGGTAAATATCTTAACCAAGGGTTGCGCGGGTGTTGGTGGATTTTTTTTTTTTTTTTCCGTCTGAGAAGAGGAGGGGCGGGGGAGTTAACCTCCATTAAATTGCAAATCAATGGTTAAGAGAAATAACAAAACCATGAATGCAAAAATGAAGAAGATTATTATTATTCATTTGTGACAGTTTTATCATTAATCTCAATTGGGAGTTAGTGATTTAGCAGTGACTGCTTACTCCCCCAATCTGTAACCTAATATTCTTCCTGCCATTCAGTACATACCCATTACACCTGTATCAGAGTGTTGAGATTAGAACGTAATTTTGGTCTTAAATCTCATAACTATGTCCTGTTCACTATTTTAAAGAATTCTTGTGCTGCAGGCAGAGAAGCACCTGCAGATACGCCAAGATGCAGAGAGGAAATATATGGCCATGCTTGAGAGTGCTTGTAAGATGTTAGCGGATCAATTTATTGGTGCTACTGTAATAGACGCAGACAACCAAAAATTTCAAGGCGTGGGAAATAAAACACCAAAATCTTCTGTGCTCGATCCCCTAGGCTTTTGCTCCTTACCATCGTCCGAGGCAACTGGAGTGCATGTTCCAGAAGCACAGCATAGTTTCTTTCAGAAGCGAGGTGACTGTTGCGCCGAAAGCTGCTTGAGATCACTTGAAAGCCTTGGAGGGTTGACTCTGGAAGGACCACCGGGTGAAGCTAAAAAGAGGATGCTGAGCTTGGACTCAATGGTGGCACCTCTGATCTGGAGTGAAGCCAATTTGAGAACTCAAGGCGTTCATCTAGCTCAAGTTAATCCTCATGGAATAACTAGGTATGGCATGTAGGGAAGGGAAGGTAAACCCATTAGTTCTTCAAGTCATCAGGACAGTCTGATGGACTGAATCCAGGTTCCGTGACGCAGGGGTTGTTTAAAGTTTTTTGAGTAGCAATTTTTGGTTGTTGGATTGTTGGGACAGTGTAGATCATGATTTGTGGTTAATCCGCCACGTGACGCCCTATCTCTGGGCTCAGCCATGTGCATGATCTGCGCCATCACAAAAAATCCAACGGTTGAAAATATTTATTTTAGAAATTTCAGACAATCCCTACTCTAGGGGACTTGTTTCCTTTCATTTTCTGTAATTTAGGGCCAAGTACTGAAACTCTGATCTTTGCTGTTCGAAGTGATAACGGAGGAGGAACGAACTTTTCACAGTATATAAGTTTCATCTATGTGGCTTAATTTGTCAAAAAGCTGGTTCTGACCATTTATAATCATGTTTTGTTTCATCTTTTTGGGTTTAAATGGGTTGTTCTCTGCCCAGTATCAATTTCATCTGGTTGAATGCATTAGTTTGAAATTGATGCTTCGTTTCGTTTTCCTAAGTAGTCAATGAAATATTTTATGTACACAAATACAAGAGCATGTTACGGTGAGCGTAAAGAAGGAAAAATGGCCCTTCGCCCTCCAAACATTTTTTCCGTTGTGAAATTTTTTACGAATGTTTGGTAGAGGAATAATCTAGTTGGGAAAAGAAGTCAATTGACTGTTGACATGTGAGGTAGAATAAAATAAAACATGAAATAAAATTAATAAAGTGATCAATATCAGGAATGAAATTTACGATTCTTCAAGTCTCTGGTGAAGGATGTGACTGTCTCAAAATCAAAGACTCAGACACACCAATACAGTAGCGTACAAGGTGAGAGTAAAGAAAGCAAAATTCGCTGAAATTGAAGATAATGTAACGTACAGCAATAATCAAATTGGGTAAAGAGTAAAGACTCTAGGCTGCAGCTAACTAAAGTTGGGAATAAGATTTAATTTTGGAAGCTTTATTTAAATAAGAGTTTGAATTTTAAAAATTAAATTTTTTAAAGTGATTGGACTTGAAGACCTGACCCTAATAAGTTCTGTAAAAAAAAGTCCAGGCAGCCCTTCAAGCCTTAATAAGCCTAGTTATCTTACACACACACACACACATATATATATTTGATTAATAATAACACAATTTAGCTAATATTTATTGTAGGTGATGAAGAAGAAGTTATCTAGATAATTGATATTGAATCTCCACATCCATATTCAACAAGTGAATTTATATATGAAGAATCTAATATTTTACTTTTAAATGATGAGTAGGAGGATTTAGATTTACATTAATAAAAATTTTAATTTTCATCTTAAATTTAAAATTTTAAATCTTTGTCGAATTTTATGTGAGATTTTAATTTATTTTATGTTAAATTTTAAAATATTTTATTTAAATCAAAATATTAAATTTTTTTCATGAAAGAGGGTTTAAGGGCCCAGTCCTGAGCCTTTTAAATAAGAGTCCGACCTCAAAATTAGGTCAAATTTTGAGTAATCAGGCTTTAGAGTTGGAGCCCTTAAAGACCGAACTCGTCATAATTCCCACCTTTACAATTAATTAGTGGGCCAGACAAATTCAATAGGTTGTCAATTGATGATTGTAATGTAAAATAGAATAAAATAAAGAAGTAATCAATATCAAGGGTACAATTTAGGGAGAACTACAGTATTGATGAGTGTGTAGTGAAGGATGTGATTTCTCTCGAAGTCAAAGACTCGTATACAAAAGACTGAGAATCAAATGAGAACAAACACATAGGGCATGCTATTACCAGAGCCGCCAAAGCTTTTGAAGTGCGTTGGCAAAGCGTGAGACATGGTGTGTGAGCCGGACTTTCTACTCTGTCACCTTGAGAGAAGACAACACAATCCCATAATCCCCTTCACAACCTTTGTAAGTATTCCTCGGACAGAGAAGCAAACACATAAGATCATTACTAGGAGTTCTACAGAATTACAAGGCCGCAAGGGGGAAGAGAAGGCATGGCCAGTTGCCTGAAGCTATTCGAGGAAGATGATAAGAGCGACGAGTTGAATTACAGAGTATAGTAGCAGAAATTTATGGAAGCTGCAACATTGGAATGCGAGTGCAAAGCTTAGTAACAGAACATTCTTCGATCATTTCAGGTACCGGCAGGCCATGGAACCAGCCACAAGAATCCCAAGGTTGCTTCTACGTGTACTTTTTCTGATAAAGAGTTCAATTCAAGAACAAGAACCAAGTTTCTCTTCACTTGAATAATAATAGCAAAGGTATACATTTCTGTAGCAACAAGGAAAACAAGGCAAAAGCCACACGAGACGTCATCGTACTGCAACAGTTGGCACCGCCGATGTGACACTGTTATTGACGCCAATGGCTGCTTTTGAAGCACATGATGATTAAAGAGAAGCTGAGTTTGGGTTTGGATCCAACCAGTGGCAACATCAACCGCAACAAGCAAGTTTGATCTTCTTTGGTGGATTGTCATTACTAGTATGGTTTCCATTTGTATTGATTTTAGTCTGGTCAATGTATATCTCTTGCTTTTTTCTAGGAATTTAACAGTGTTTATTCTAGATAAAAATAAACCATGTGGGTAATTGATTTCAAAAAGGAGTGTTTATTTTAAATTAAATGTTTTACATTGACTCATGACATGCATTAAAAAAAAACTATAACCAAGAAACACGTGATTGTTTACAGTTTACACATCCACATTTCGTCCATTCCGGATTCCTTACATTCACAAAAAGTAAATACATATATAATACAATTGAAGAAGGACCATCGTAAAAACAAGACACAAGTCGGATCATATCATCGTATCGTATTGTTTGTGAACATTGGAGTTGCAGAGGGAAGAATTTTGAATTATTTTTGTCAAGTGAGGAAAGCAAATAAAAGCCAGGTCATGGAAAGTGCGGGAAGATTGAGCATTTTTTCTCAAGTTCATGGCAGAGGATGTGATGTGGCATCACTACGTAGATATGTCTGTAAGAGAATTCTTTTACAAAGTGCTCACTAATTAAGTAGGATTAAGGGAATTAAGTTTAGATAGACATATCAAGTCAATACATTTGAACAACAAAAGATAGCAACAAAGTGGAAAGATGAGATTATATGAGTTTGGGAAACATTTGCTTCTGCTGAGTTGTTGCACTGCAAGGGCTAGCTTTACTAGTTTTGAAATGGAAAGAGAATTGAACAGCTTGAAAATATATTAATAAATAGGAAGATGGGAGAAATACAAGTATGACATATGTTGCAAGTAGAACAACTTAGAACAACCTATGTGTGATGCAAATCACGTGATTAGAGCTGTTTGCTTTTTCTTCTTCTTGTCTGATGTGTAGTCTTGTGCTGACTTGGAATATGATGACTTATTATGTGGCTCAATATTCCCATGCGAGTCTAACTGGGCTAGTAGGATAGTGAGACTCAAATAAAGATTGGTGAAATGAGATGTAGGTAGTGGCTTGGTGAGAATATCAGCAAGTTGATCCTTGGAGGAAACATGGAGAATGTTGATAAGTTTTGTTGCAAGGCATTCAAGAACGAAGTGATAGTCAAGGGAGATATGTTTGGCACGAGAATGGAAGACTGGGTTAGCAACTAAGTATGTGGTTCCTAAATTATCACAACAGAGGAATGGTGATTGAGGGAGAAAAATGCCCAGTTTATAGAGAAGACTTTGGAGCCAGATAAGTTTACCAGTGGTAGTAGCGATGGCTTTATATTTAGCTTCAGTACTTGAGCAAGCCACAGTAGATTGTTTCTTGGAGCTCCATGCAATAAGATTAGGGCTAAGAAAGATAGCAAATGCACCAATAGATCTTAAATCATCTAGATTGCCACCCTAGTCAGCATCAAAAAAGGCGAAGAGACAAGTAGAAGGGGATGGACAAAGATGTAGCATAAAGTGAGTTGTACCACAAAGGTATCTTAGGATGCATTTAACGGTAGTCCAGTGGGACTCTGTAGGATTATGCATGAATTGACACACACGATTGATTGCAAAGGTAATATCAGGCCTAGTGAAATTAAGATATTATAGACTATTAACAATGCTGCGATAAAGAACGGGGTCACTAAAAGCAGGGCTATCATGAGAAGATAAGTGTGTGTTTGTGGCCATGGGTGTGGTGACAGGACGGCATTGGACATTTTGGATTTAAGAAGAATATCCTAAATATATTTTCTCTGGGATTGAATAAGGCCACTAGTGGATGGTAAGACTTTAATACCAAGAAAACAATGGAGAGGGCTTAAGTCTTTAATAGGAAATGTGTGACCCAAAGCAATAATCAGTTCTTGAACAGCCAAATTAGAGGAGCTAGTGACAATAATGTCATCAACAAAGACTACTACATAAATAGTGCCTAAAGAGTTATTGCAAATAAACAAAGAAGAGTTTGACCGAGAGGCATAAAATCCAAGCTGTTAGAGTTGAGAAGTGAGTCGTGCAAACTAGGCCCATAGAGCCTGTTTCAGGCCGTAAAGAGCTTGATTTAACTTGCATATAAAGTGAGGAAAATTTGGATGGACAAACCCCGGAGGTTGTTGTATATAAACAAACTCTTGTAGGAAGCCATGAAGAAAAGCATTCTAGACATCAATTTGTTTGATTGGCCATCGCTTTGAAACAGTAAGGGAGAGAATGATTTGAACAGTGAGAGGTTTAACAACAGGTGAGAAGGTGTTAGTGAAATCAACCCTTGGCTGTTGATGAAAGCCTTTTGCAACAAGCCATGCTTTGTAGCAATCAAGTGTCCTCGTCGGCACAATACTTTTTGCAGAAGTTCTATTTACAATTGACAAGATTAAAGGAAGGTGATGGTAGAATGAGACTCTAAGAATTAGTGGAGAGAAGAGCCTAAAATTCAGTGGAAAGAGCATGTCACCATTATGGGTATTGCATCGTTAAGGAGGGAGAAGTAAGGATAGGTGGTTCAAGTCTCGATACGTAATGAGCATGAGGAGGCAGAGCAGAGATAAAGTCATCAGATAGAGGCTTAGGCTTTTAGATGTTTGCTTTTAATTCGGTGACCATGTGATGGGTAAGTAAAGGACATGGAGGAGATAAGGATGGTGAGGGTGCCAAGGGGGTTGAAGGAGATGGTGAAGAGGATGAACTATGAAGAGTAGGCAAAGACATCGATGACTGGGACGAAGAGGCAGAGAGGACGAGTGAGGAAGGTAGGATAGTAGGGTTAGGTAAAGTGGTTAGGCTTAATGGTATTGGGCTTGGAATGTAAGGTAAAATAACTTAGGGGGAAATAAAAGGAGTTGGGCTAGTGAAGCTGAAGGAAATAAATAGAAATTGGGCTTAATCAAAGACCACATCTTATGATGTGTAAGGGCAGCTAGTAGGTAGATGTAAGTAGAGATAGCCTAATTGATTTGAAGCATATCCTAAGAATACACATAGAAGGG